ATGCAAATAATAAATCATGGAACACTACATCAAAAACTAATGAAGTACAGTAGGTGACTAACATACCATAATAACACCAAAAAAATTCTAAGTAAATAGTTTGTTTTGGCTAGGTTACCTAGCCAAATTTTTGTTAATAACTAATTTATTGAATTTTGATTTTTGGTCAAATAATATATCCTATATGATTTCTATATTTTAATTTTTTTGAGATTCTTTTTATGAAATACATGTGATACATTTTTATAAACATGCCATGGGTGTTGGAAACAACTAGTATGTTTTTACATTAGATACAAAGTTTTACACATGCCTGTTGGGTCAAATGTGTTAACTATACTACTGAAATCAGTTATATTTTACTTAATTTTTGTTGATCTGTCCATTTCTGAAGTAGATGGATTTCTATATTCCATTAAGACTGCAAATTTATCAATTGCTCCATGTTTTTCTCCCCTTTTGCTCTAAATGCATTTTGCCAAGTTATTAGGGATATAAAAGTTAATGACTCATTCATGGTTTGATATAATTTGAATCCATATGAACTATTCTTCTTTGTTCTGTTTAATATGATTCTTCTTGAATCCATTTTTCCTGATAACATTATTATACCCTACTTTTCAATTAGCAGTTGCTCAAAATAACTTCTTAAATCTCTCTTTATCATTTGACTTTGAATATCTCATAAATAGAAGCTAAAGTTTTGCAACCATTTCTAAAAGATTTATTATTTATTGTATCATTTTTATTTATTATTATTATTAATTTATTTTAAGGGGATAGAGAGAATGCAGGAAGGAGGGCCAGAGGGAGAGTGAGAGAGAGAATCTCAAGCCGACTCTATGCTGCTGAGTGGGGAGCCCAGCTTGGGGCTCAGTCTCACCACCCTGAGATCATGACCTGAGCCAAAATCAAGAGTCAGAAGTTTAACCCATTGAGTCACCCAGGCGCCCCTTTGCAATCCTTCTTGATTTAATATAATTGAAACCAGAGGTTTCGATTAAAGAATTATAACTAAAAAATATAACACATTTTTTGTGATTACTGATAATTCTTTCTACTTCATTACAATTTAATGTTTTTAATTTCCTACACGAGTTCGTCTTGCTTTTCTCCTTCTTTCTGCCTTTTGTTGGGTTAAAAAATGCATTAAATTTCTATTCCTCTAGAAATTCCCCATAAAATATTTCACTCTTGTTACATAACAATATTATTTAGACACAACCACAATTTTTACTGGTTTCTTTATATACTTGCATTCTTTTTGTCCCATTTCTTTCTTTTCTTTGGGACTTTAATTTTTCTGGAGTGTGTCATCAATATTGCCTATGGAAGAAAACTGTGAGTTTTTAAATGTTTTAAAAATTCTCTAAAAGCCTTTATTTTGCCTTTTTTTGCATGTTCTTTTACATAAATATAGGGCTTTGGGTTCAAAATCTCCAAATTTTGAAAGTATCCCATCATCTTTAAGAACCCAGTGGTGCCAGTATTTAAACTTGCAGCTTATTCCATCAATTGATTTCCATCTATTTTTCCTTCGGAGGAAGGAAATATCTAATCCACAGATGCTATGTCTTCTTGTCTGGTGCTAGATTTATTCTGCCTTAAAATATATCTTGTCTGACATCATTAGGGACTTTCTGGTGGTAAACATGCTGATTTAGCCACCCTGAGCCAACTACTATCCCCTTCTCTTTAAAGACTGTTTAATTTTTCATTATCACGACTACTTTTAATGACCTATTATTCAAATTCCTATTGTAGGTTAAGTAGGTTTCCAGAGATATGCTTTTATTTTTGGCCCATGCAAATATTCATAGTAATGAGTTCTGCTGTAACAGAATTCTACTATTTTCAGTGATAAATAAAAGAATTAAACCTTTCTCAATAATGTTTCAAGTATTTTGTTTATATCACATGTTGCTGATACAACAATCAACCACTCATAATAATAAGTTGAGATTTTCTTACTAATTTTTCTAAGTGACCTGGACACAACAGAGTGTCTAAAAGGTCTAGAAACATAAACAGTGTATTCATTGTACTTTTTCAGAATAAAAAATAGATAGGACCTGGGGCACCTGGGTGGCTCAGTGGGTTAGGGCCTCTGCCTTTGGCTCAGGTCATGATCCCAGGGTCCTGGGATCGAGCCCCACATTGGGCTCTCTGCTCTGCAAGGAGCCTGCTTCCTCCCCCCTCTCTGCCTGCCTCTCTGCCTAGTTGTGATTTCTCTCTGTCAAATAAATAAAATATTTTTAAAAAATAGATAGGACCTATTGCTTTAAGATTAGAGGTATTTCACCTGAAACGTTTTCCAGGAGTTGAAAAAACATCCTAAGAGTATATTATTTGAAAGTGTAATTAATGTGCTTCTAAAAATGAATTCATCCTTATGTTTCTTGACTTTTCAGACACTCTGTAATTATTTCTGTTTGCTCCAGCTCTATGAATCATTCAGGTATATTTATCCAATTTCTGTATGAGAGAGTTTGCATACAAGACATCATGGGATTTGGACCAGAAGCCCCGGATTCAAGGCTCAGTCCAAGCACTTACTGCAAGCTCTGTGGGTGTGAGCAAGATTTTTAACCCCTCAGAGCCTTAACTTCCTGCTATGCAAACGTAAGATAATAAAAACTACTTCACTTACCTTCATTTAATGAAATAATACATATAAAAATTCTCAGATTTGGACACTTTTAGCCAGAATGGTTGTATGCCTGGACAATACCATCAAAGTCTTAAGTTTCAAACACTGAAATATATATATAGCATAGGAAACAAGTCTTGCTTTGGTTTGGAGGCCTTAACATTGCAAGATGAAACCAAATTTATTATTTTTTTTTCCAAATTTATTTCTTAAACTGAAATCTGGAAAGGCTGTTATTTATATTTGGGGAAAAGGCAACTCATTATCAGGACAACAATTTACAGGTGACCTAGCGTCTCCACATCACATATGGCTCCAGTTAAGCTAAAAATCAAGAATATCAGTCCTCACAAACAAAAGAAAAGGTGGGAGAGAGTCCAAATAAATATTTCCCCACAGCTATCAAATACTGTGAATGAATTAAAAAAAAAAACCTATAGTAACAAAAACATTTTTGTTTTTTACTTTACTATTTCAAGAGAGCTTTACATACATTATTTCATTTGATTTTCCTAGCAGGTAGGTTTGGCAAGTATACCTTTTTTTTTTCTTCCATAATTTACAAATGAAATTGATATTCAGAGAGACGCTATTACATCCATGAAGTCATATACCTGGTCAACAGAGGTAGCCCTTGGGCCTTTGGTTATTAATATTAATCTGCTTGGAGAGAAGCTCCCATAATGGACCCCCACTAACCAACTCTCCAAGCCAATCGCCACCTTCCTTCTGTAGAACGTTCCCCCTGCCCTGATGCTGCTGCCTAGCTGGGCCCTGACACATCTAGCCTCCACTATGTGAAACAAATGCTTACCAAGAGTCAGTTAAGTTTGCTCCCACAGTTATGTTTGCAATTTTACATGTTACTGTAATTATTTAATTCCAATAAAATGAAATGGATTCCATGAGTAGAAAAAGAAAGACAGTTGTCACTTCTAGGAGAAATACATTGACAACTTTGGAAAAATTAAGTACAAGCGAATTGCTAACGAGAATTTTGGCCAAGTAAAGTGCAAATAAGGCCAACAAAGTAGAAGCAAACTCCCTGCTGAGCAGGGTGCCTGTTGGGGGCTCGATATGGGACTTGATCCCAGGACCTTGGGATCATGACCTGAGCCTAAGGCAGATGCTTAACAGACTGAGCCACCCAGATGCCCCTTAAGTTCTTACTTTAAATACACAAAAACAGGGGCGCCTCGGTGGTGTAATCAGCTAAGTGTCTGACTCCTGGTTTTCATGAGGTCAAGCCTTGCCTCGGGTTTCCTGCCCAGTGGGGAGTCTGCTTAAGACTTTCTCCTTCTCCCTCTGCCCCTCTCCCCCAAGGCTCTCTCTCTAAAATAAATAAATAATAGATCTTACTAAGTAAATACACAAAAACAGGACACTCTAACCAATATATTATAGGTAGAATTTGTGATACCAAGGAACTCCAGTCAGTAAGCCAATAATCAGAAAAAGGTCTCAGCTCAATATTGAAAGATTATCAAATTATATATTTTAGCAAAATATAAAACACAGTATGTCTATCACTGCAGCCAATCTTTACCAAACTTTTTTGATTAGCTACCTTACTAACAGCCAAAAAATACCGGGAAAGAGTGTCTAATATACTACAGGTTCCAGATTTCTCCCCACAAACCATAAGGTCCCCAGAACCCACAGGTCCTGCTTGGTGAAGAGGGAATGCTGCCAAAGAATTTGCTTTTCCAGAACTTAATGCAAAATGCAATACACAACATTGCTGCTCTTTGCTCTTCTTGCTACTATGTAATGAGAGACTCTAGCACAGGAAGTCCTCTCTGCTGAAATCGGTGAGGTTTTAAGGGAGGCAGTTAAATCGCTCTGCAGGATAAGGTACCAAAAAAGGTTCATTGTCCCCTGGCAAGTGGTTTCCTGGCCCAGAACACAGAGAGAGGAAGAGTGATGGGAGGGGTCTCAGGAGGAGGTGACCGTACCTAACCCTGAACTTGGAAGTTGATCCCCAACCTGTGTGCCCCTTGGGTTCTCTCTAATTTTCCCATAGAAGTGCTACACATCATAACCCTGTGTTAGCAGTAGTTAGGGAAGTAAGGGAGGAGGAGCAAAGAATTCTTTGGGGCAAAGAATTCAACCAGAGTAAGAATTGAAAGTGGGAGAGGATCAGAAGGAAGCAGACCTCTGCAGAATCCTTGGAAATTGTAAGTAGGGTACCAGATGCCCCGCAGTTACGTGGGATAAGACTTGAATCAGTTTATTAACAAAAGAAAAAAAAGAAACCATAATCTCAGAAGACACAGTGCTTGGGTATGCCTGCATTACATGTTTATGGAACTTATGAACAACAGACTTTCCATGTTTGACAGAAGGCAAATCAGGACAAAGCCTCAAAGACATTTTTATTGTGCCTGGCTTCAAATGAAAGCATAGTGTCCGAATGTCATTCTACAAAGTCCTAACTGTGCTGGTTATTTCTAAAAACATGGTGGGAAGAAGAACTTAGGAGTCTGTAGACAAGGCACATACATAGAATGCCCTCTTCAGGCACTTACTGTTTGTACTTCAGAGCTTTGAAAAGCGAGTACATAATTATTACTCGGTACGAATCTGTGATGAGTTAATGTTAAAATTCCACTGAGGAAAAAAACACAAAATGCCTGTGTATTTGGATTCCTTTGATCATCTATCTGCTTTGATTTTTCATAGCTCAAAGTATTTTCTCCTTTTCCTCCTTCTTTTGTTTCTTTGCTTCATTCCGGAATGACAGGGAGAAGAGAATACTGGACACTTGGAGATGGGCTTCTCGGAGGAAAAAGAACAGCTTTCCAGGAGTAATACAACTGTTTTTGCTTCTAAGACCAGTTAGGCAAGTCTCTGAGGAGTCTTATAAATAGACACTGGGATACAAAACAGCACAGCTTGACAACATTCTGTAAGACAGACGACAGTGAGTGTCATTTGGGCCGTTTCCTCCCCTGTCTCTCAGCACAGGCGGATGACATCACCCCGACAACAACTCAGCAAGACCAGTTCTCCAGAGGGCAGCGGTGGCAGGAACAAACTGAAATGAAACACACAATCTCAGTTCATCTGCTGACCTGATTTGATCCAGGGCTGGACTCTGGAAAATCTAGAACATCACCCTCTGCCACGTTTCCCTCAAACTACTGACAAAAATTGGGCAGCAATGAACACATTGCTGGGAAAATGAACACTGGGAGCTCAGATGCCTAATTTTAAAAGTGGATCGTGACCAGATTCAGGAAGTCCTTGCTGCCAGGCATCAGCCTTTCAGCTGCTTGTTCAGGCAGTGGTCTAAGAGGTCCAAAGGGAGAAGCACGGGCTGGGGAGGCAGGGCAGTACCTATTTGCCAACCAGCATGAAATTAGTTTAAGAGTTTAACATGTATGCTTGCAGTTATGGACATCAGCTGGAAGTCAACCCTCCAACATATATAACTACATCATAAAGAGCCAAAGAATGTTCATGGGATTTCAGACTTTTTAAATTTGAACTTTAGGAAGTCTGCTTCCAGTTTCAGGGTGAGAATCCAGACATGCTGTTTCCAAAGCAGACAATAAACAAGGCAAAATGTGATCAACTCTTCCCTTTAAAACTCCCATGGGGTGGGGGCGGGGTGGTGTGGAGGGTGGGGATGGCACCTGGGTGGCTCAGCTGGTTAAGCAGCAGCCTTTGGCTCGGGTCCTGATTCTTGGGTCCTGGGATCAAGCCCTGCATCGGGCTCCCTCCTCAATGGAGAGCCTGCTTCTCCCTCTCCCTCTGTATGCCGCTCTGCCTACTTGTGCTCTCTCCCTATGTCTCCATCAAATAAATAAAAACCTTAAAAAATATATGTAAATAAAACTCCCATAGGCCACCATCTGTCACTGGTGTTTATTGCAAAGTCGTGATGAGCCCAAGGCAACTGATGGACATCTGCCCTGCCATGTGGCCTCTGAAGTGAGAGACACAAGGTACCGTCAGTTTGTTTCTGGCATGTCCTCCCACAACCCACGTTGTAGCCGGCCCAACTCTCCTGGGCCACAGCACAGAAGGCATGATCCAGGCCACAGACAGCACCAACAGGGGTCACGAGGAAAGTGCGTGCCCAGCTTCCCTGAGTCCTGGGGTTTTCATTCACAAGTACTCTTTGTCTGGGTTCCACTTCATTTAACTGAAAACCCAAAACACCAGAGGCTTAATTAAGCACATGGGGTTTCTTCTGCCACAGAATAAGGGATAGAGACAGGCAGTACACGGCCCCGGGCTCCCTCTATCATTCTGAGCTACCAGCTGCAGCCCATCCACATGGCAAGGTCACCTCACCGCCCACGATGGCTGCTGCACTTCCAGCACCCTGTCTCCTTTCTAGGCAGTAGGCAGGAAGCAGAAAGGAGGCAAATGGACACTTTTCTGAACCGAGTCTGCTTCCTTTAAGTGATTTTTTTGGAAAGCTCCCTCAACATTTCTGCCTACGTTGCATTGGCCACATCTAGCAGGGAAGACTGAAATGCGGGGCACACTGCAGCCCAGAATAAAACTGGAGATCTCTTTTACTATGAAAGAAGGGGAGGATGGATATCATGTAGCAACCCGCAATCTCTGCCACAAATCCCAGTGCACAGAATAGCAACACACAGAATGGCAACTGCTGATGTATTATGTACACTGGGCTAACCCAACTCAGAAGAAGAGCCAAAAATTCTCTACCAGCAGATGCTCTCTCCAGCCAAACAGTTCAATTTCACTTTTTAATACAAGACACAAATTCCTTCCTTCATGACTCTTCCCTTTCACTTGGCACTAACTCTTCCCAAAAATGTTCCCGAAGATGGAACAGTCCAGGCCTGTCACGTTTGGCTCCACCTCTTTTTCTTTCCTTTTTTTAAAAAAAATATTTTCTTAACTCACTGGTTTTTTTTTGTTGTTGTTGTTTTTTGGGTTTTTTCCATCATAATTCTATTCACACAGTTCCATTCACATTGTCCCACTGCCTGGGCAATCAGAAATCAAATATCTACAGATTAGCCTTGACGGATTGTTTTTCGTTTGTTTGTTTTTTGTTTTTTTTACAATAAGCTGTCAATGTAGATTTTTTTTAAGTGCAGACAGAAGTCTGAATTTTCATGTGAAATATGACAGCTAATTTACCTTTTTTAAAACAATGGGTGGGCCTCTGTTTGACCAACTCCTAAACTCCACTTGGGTCGGTGCCGCTGTGCCTTGGCTTTCCTCACTTTGGTTGTCATATGGATGCAATTCTTTCCACAGAGCATCCTGCCTGCCTTTTCCTCCCTGTCCTGTCTCCTTCCCTCCCTTCCTTCCTCTCCCTCCTTCCATGTATCTGTTTGTAACTGAAGTAACTGATCTTCTTCCTATTGACCTACAGATTTCTTTCCTGAAATACTCTTCTGATCAATACTTCCCTCTCAACATCTAGTTTTGATATGCGACTACAGATACTCTTCCAAAATCAGTCCTACATCTTAAAATCCATCCCATTTCTTTCCCACTATCCCTTGACTCTCAGGAAGCTTGAGCTGAAGAAAATGCATAAAAGTCTCCATCATGCCTTCTCTAATTCTCTAGCAAGAGGCTCCCAGCCAAGGCCGCCAGCATTTAGTGAGTCAGGCGGTGTTCTGGACAACTGATAATGGCAAAGACAATGTGCACTCAGCCTCCATGATAAAGGGACTATAAGAAATAAAAGGTATGCAATAAATTCAAGAACTGTGCCTCAGCTAAGGTAGAGCAATAGCTCTGAATTTTGTAAAGAAGCTAGAAATTCATATATTTTCCTGAAGAAAATAAATTTTATACAAATTTATATTTTATATTTATATTTTATACAAATTTTATACAAATTTTATGAATTCACTTTCTTGAAAAACAAGCAGGGGGCTTATATTTGCAAACTTTGACCTCCAGCACATACTGAATTACCGCCTAATTGATTCAAACATAGGTCTCTTTTCACAGCACCTGGCAGGGCATGAAGCTCTCAATAAAGGCTGACTGACTGATGCTATCACCTGGTCAACAGACTCACTTGTACTCTTGGCGGGGGGCGCAGGGATTCAGGACTCTCTCAGAAGCTGGATGAGGTTAAGGAACTGAGAAATATTTCCTCGGTTATGATGAAGGGAAGATCTAATTGCTTTTTTATTTCCAATCAATTAGAACAGTGCGGTTTTATACCTAATTTGTTATCAACAAAAACCCGGCATAAGAAAAATTAGCTTTGGCGTACACTTTAAACCAGACTTAGTGACTTTTTTACTCCTGAATGATTTTAGGTCATTTGTCAGCAACCACTGAAACCATACTTCACCGGTCCATGTTCTGTTCACTGGTCCATGTTTTCAATTGGCCAGATTTGCCTATTCTTTTCCTGTAAAAATACTAATAAACATAGTATGACCCAAACTGTATGCTTAACCTCCATAAAAGAGTAAGAATGTAGGAGAAAAGTTTCCCTGCTATAAAATAATAAGGAATAAATAATATTTAGAAATACACATTCCTAAAAGCATGGGGTGCCTGGTGGGGGGGGCTCAGTTGTTTAAGTGTCTGCCTTCAGATCAGGTCATGATCTCATGGTCCTGGGATTGAGTTCCTGCATTGGGGTTCCCTGCTCAGTGGGGTGCCTGCTGTTCCCTCTCTCTCTGCCCCTCCCCCCTGCCTGAACTCACTGGCGCTTTCTCGCTCTCTCTCTCTCTCCCTCGCTCTTGCTCTCTCACGCGTGCATGCTCTCTCAAATAAAATTTTACAAAAAATAAATAGAAATACACATTTCTAAAAGTCCTGAAGCACAGGTTTTTAATACTATAAGAACTACACCTTTGGTGGATAAAAAATGTGCACACACGTACACTTACACCACTGTATCACACCCATATGGCCAGGTCACTGCACTGTTCAGGTGTCAGACATATTGAGAGCAAAGGGTTTAATCTCAGGATGGATGCCAAGGAGAAGCTCATTCATTCATTCAAAAATACACGTACTGGACTTTTGCTGTCAACCAAAATGAATCTACTGAATTTACTCTCCAACTGAAATAACCAAAACACAGGACACAGTACAAACAACAGTGTTTCAAGAAACTCTGAATCAAAGGACAGCAATCCCTAAAAGATAGAAAAGGAATGCAGTGAGCCCTGCGATTGCCCTAGCTCACTGCCTTGAAAGAGTTTCAAGGAAAACACAGGCAAAGCCCAGCCAACTCCCTACGTTTAGCAGTAAAAGTCAAGAGCCCAAGACAGAGTTCACAGAGTACTGGAAAGAGCTTCAGAGAGAGGGGAAACTCCAAAGAACTCTTAGGCTCTCCTCCAGTATTTAGCACAATCCTGATCAGCCCAGGAATGAAAGGTAACCACGTGAAGCCTAGGAAGAAACCACCCAGAAGGTTAGGGCAACTGCGTGCAACACCCACACAGGATAGTGCATATACATCCCTTGCTATTTCTCCTTCTCTGTTGGAACACGCGCAAATATATGGAAAGAATTTGTTACAGGGGATTGGCTTATGTACTGTGAGGGATCGTTAGGCGGCTTCTATAAGACTGTACCTCTGTATCTGATGCAGAGTCCACTGGGAAGGCAAGGGAAAGAAGAAGATCCAAGCAAGCTGGAACCCTGCATGCATAAGCTGGAAAGGTGAAACTCATACTCTTTCCTCTTGCCTCAGAGTTTGGTGCAACGTATACAGCAGAGGCAGAACCTCGCGTCCCACCCAGCACGGGGTTGCGTGTATCAGTTTGGGTCCTTTGAGAGGCAGACACCGAGACGGGTCTGGACGTGCAGGAAATTTATTGGTGGAACATCTGGGGGGAAAGAGGAAGGAGTCAAACGAGGTGACCCTACAAAGGAGAGAGGGAAGACGAGGTGAATAAGAAGAGTCTTTGATCTCAACCCAAGGCTAGGAATGTTCAGCCAGGCCCATGGAGAGTCCATGATAAAAGTCGCCCATCATTTGAGTCCCTCATCTGGAGAAGAGGCCTGGATCCTTGTCACATGCAGTCATTGGCTGGGAGCAGCTGGTAGGAAGTGTGGCCTCAGCGGGACTCAAGGTTGAATTCACAGCACAGTGGCTGGGGCTGTTGATCAATTATGCTCACTGAAGCAGGAAATCTGAGTGGCGCGCTCTCACCAGCACGCCACAGCAGGATGGATGAGGACCCAAGTTTCTAACTAGAGAGCACATTTTCATAACTAGCAGATATAAAAAACAGCGGCATAAAACCCACCATTGTCTTCGCGGTAGGCAAACTAGTGTGGATGCTGTCCACTACATCACAGTGTCCCCTTTATGAGGGCCCAAGAAAAACAGGTCCTGTGGCTCAGGGCCAGGCAAAGTCATTCCTCCTGCGCAACTGGTATGTTTTCATCCTGTAGCTATGTGAATTTTGTCGCTGATTTTCTTTTTGTCTTAACCATTAGGAAATTAAGATCCAGACCTGGGTTTTAACTCTAGCTTTGGGGCTTTCATTTTTCTGCTCTTCTACCTTTTTACTACTCTTTCCTGATTTTCAACACTACTCTTCTCTGCAAGTGATCCATACTCCTTTCTGAAATAAGGCAGGAAATAATCACCGTCGACTAGGCTAGTAACTACGAGAACTAAAAAGACCAGATTTTAAATGCTTCAGTTTATTCCTTGTATGATAACTTTGCATAGAGGTCAATCCTTTTGCTCTCAACCAGCCCTAATAGAAATAGTGAGCTGCCCACATGTAATTTTAAATTTTCTAGTGGCCACATTTTAAAAAGTAAAAAGAAACAGATAAAATTGAAACAATTTAAATCTTTGAAAGGCCAGTGTGTACTTCATAGGTAGAACCTGTATCAGAGTTGGATCAGGCCCACGGCAAATGCTCAGTGGCCAGATGTGTCAAGTGGTTCCTGTATTGGACAGTGTCAGTCTAAAAACAAAGCTACCAATGAACAAAGAGTCCAAAAAATTTTTAAGATAACAATCACAATTGTACCTAACCTATATAGTTGGCTTTTATTGAAGATTTCCGAGGTTCTAGGGGTTTCTGATTCAATACTAGGAAGTAAAAAGGAATTCTCCTCCCAGGGGTAATGATCATGAAATCCCCAAGATACTGGAATTTTTTTTAACTTCTGTATGTATCTTTGTTATCTGATTCTTGACTGGACCACCCCTGTCTACTGAAAAAAAATGTAGTATAAAATGGTTATGGACATCTAGTAAGAAACAGACATGCATTTTGTTTATCCTATATTTCATCTACAGTAGTATTAAAAATTACTTCAAAGCATGTGTATAGAGCTGTAAGACCAAAGAACAGAAACCTTTCTAACTGTGATCAACAAATGAACAACAAACAACAAAAAATGCTTAATTCTCCTTGCTTGGGGACCAGCTCTAACACTTACACCTAAGTTTGGAGAAAAAAAAGAGTATTATTCATTTACACCAAAATTAGAAGACTAAGAATGTAGTAAGATTCCTGAGAGTTATGAATTGGATTTTTTTAAAAGATTTTCTTTATTTTTGAGAGAGAGAGAGAGAGAGAGAGAACGAACATGCACTCCAGCTGGGGAAAGGGGTAGGCAGAAGGAGAAGCTGACACCACCACCCCACCCCGCCCCCCGGCAATGAGCAGGGAGCCCAATAGAGACTCCATCCTAGGGCCCTGAGGTCATGATCTGAACCAACTGAGTCACCCAGACACTCATGAACTGTATCTTTTAAGGCAATTTATTTAACCTATGAGAGCCGCCATTTCCACATATTTTCAATAAAATTATATCACAGAATGGCTATGAAGATCAAGAATATATTGTGTATAAGTCCAACAGACAAATACTAAGCACTCAGTGAGAACATCATTTTTAATCACGAAAGGTTATTAAATCCAGGTATTCTTAATTTGGGGTTTATAGACCTCTAGTCCATAGATAAAATGGCAGACTGGGGGGAACCCCAAAAACTGAATAGGAAAAAAGATTACATCAATATTTTCACTAACCTCTAATCAAAATTTAGCATTTCCCCATTATGAATACTGGCAAAAACAGTATTAGAAGAACCTGCCGCTTTGCACTACAGAACAGGTATTTTCACATCACACTTCTGATGTCACAAGTCTCTCAAAATACCTTTCATCACCTTTTTGAAATTCTAGTACTTGTTAGACCTACTGCTAGATCTTGTTAATCAATGCATTAGAAAAGAAACAATACTGTGTTACCAACATATTTTTTTAAATTTCAGTATAACTAGTTTGCTTTGTAATACTCCATGTTTTATTTTATGCACTTAAAGCATGATTCTGAGAAGGGCTCCCTAGGTTTCACAAAACTGCCATGGCTCGAATAAAGTTTAAGAATCCCTAAATTTTAGTCTCTCTGTTTCTTTCCAGAAAGCCAACCAAGTTTGATAACTGAGCACCTGCCTGGGTGATCCCATTCCCAAAGTCTCAGGTTTGTTTTCTATATGTGTAGCTCTGTCAATAAGCTGTTGCAGCCCTGGTACCTGACTCTATCAATTAATCTGTTTGCTGAGCTCACCTTCAATCTATGGCTGGCACCTACCCTCTTCAAGGTTCTGTGTCCAACTTGACAGGCTGGTTTTTTGGTGTGTTCGGATGACACTTACTGGCCCTCGCGGGATGTCGGGCCCCTGGTGAAGCTGCGCGGTGATTTTGCGGTGTGGTCCCAGACCAGTAGCATCAGCATCTCCCGGCAGCTTGGTAGATTTGCCAATTCTTGGGTCACACCGCAGACCCAAAATAGAATCTCTGAGGTCTATCAATGCGTGTTTTATCAAGCCCTCCGGGAGATGCACGCGGGAGTCTGAGTACCACCGCGCTAGGGAATGGGAGGGCAGCCCAACCCGGGGCGGGGGTTGGGGATGGTGCAAGGAGTTCTCTCACCTCCAACCTCCGTGGGGACTAACGCTGCTTGTCCAACTGGGGCCAGGGGCCGGGGTCAGATTGGGGGGCCGGTATTGCGATGCAGGAGGTGCTGAGCGGCCTAATGAGTCGAAAGCCAGGGCTACGGTGCTTGTTTTTCTTCTGCACCCCGGTTTTAATTATATTACTCCAAGCCTCGACGGTAACTGACAAAGAAGGTCCCCCCATACCAACCCCTTGGCGCCGCTGCTGTATGGCAAGAGAAAAGGAGTCAGGGAGAGCGCCTGGGCACCGGGTAGTGCATGGCCCCCCAAACCCGAGGGCTCTGCCCCAACGGCCCCGGAACCCCCTGAATTCTTCCCCCGCCTCTGCAGGAGCCGGAGGGCGTGCTCCCTGCCGGGAATTGCGGTCCCGGAAACCCGCCAATCCCAGGCTGGACGGGCTCAGCCGCCTCCAGAAAACTACAAATCCCAGGATGCCCGGCGCGGGTGTGTCACGAGGGAGGGGCGGCGGGCGCGGCTAAATAGCCTCCTTCGGCCATTTTGAGGGAGAAGCCACAGCGCCGCCTCTTCTCTCGCGTCTTCGCCTCCGTGGCCGCCGCCTCTTCCTCCGCCTCCTCCTTCGCCTCTTCCTGCCTCCTCCCGGCTTCCGCCGCCGCCGCCGCCGCTCTAGCCGAATCCCAGTCCCGGGGCGAAGCGTCTCTTTATTTATTTACGTTTTCTCGCCACTGCAGCCGCCAGACACGGTGATCCGGGCGGGCCCCGCAGGAATTTTATCCCCTCACCGGCCTCACACTAGTATCGCATGTCCACTATCCAGAACCTCCAATCTTTCGGTAAGATCAGGCCGCCACCGCCCACTGCCCCCGCGCGCCTCCCGGCCGGCCGCCACTACCCGCCCTCGCCGGGGCCACTGGCCGCCCCGCAGCCCCGAGGGGCCCCCCGCTGCCCTCCCCGCACCCCGAGTGGGGCTTTGTCTCGGCGCCCAGAAAATGGCGACTGGGCCCCTGGCGACCCCCTCCCCGAGGACGGCTGCGGCCCCTGCTCCCTCCCCGCGGAACCCCCTGCCCCGGCTCCCGCCTCCTCCAGCCCGGCCGCCGCTCCCCGACCTGCCTTTCCACTCGCTAGGGGTTGCCAGGCCCGGGGCTGGGGATCGGCGTCCATCGGCGGTCGGAGGGGACTCGGCGCAGCTCTCTCGGGCATTTGGTTAAAGAAGCGGATCCGGCCCTCTGATCTGTCACGGGGCTGCGGTCCAGCTTCTCTGTTTGCGTAGTAATTTGTAAAATTACGCCTCTTGACAGATATGTCTATGTGTGTCTGTGTATATGTGGGTTTCTTTTTCTTGTTTACTTGTGAAGGGCACCGTTACGGTTAAATGATTGGGGTGGACACGTTTGACTGTTTTGTTGTCACATCAGAATGTAATCGAGATGACGCACATTTTTATAGTCGCTATAAAATTACGGTTTTTTGAAAGCTCTTTTCTCATTAGAGGACTGCGTTCAATGATAACAATCTGCCAATAACAACGTTTTCTATTCACATGTCCGTGGACGTAGCTGTTTAAATTTTTCCTCTTTTTGTGAGAGTACCTTGGTGGTTTTCTTAATACCTCGCCCCTTCGCCCCCTCCCATCCCCACCCGCAAAAAAAGCAGAGGCACTAGAACCTTCTTTGCTGCTAGATTGTAGTGTGTCCTACATATGGAAATGACTGACTAAAAGATGTTTTTCTGGTTTGGCATTTTTTTTGTATCCCTTTGCAGACCCCTTTGCTGATGCAACTAAGGGTGACGACTTACTCCCGGCAGGGACTGAGGATTACATTCATATAAGAATCCAGCAACGGAACGGCAGAAAGACACTGACTACTGTCCAGGGCATTGCAGATGATTATGACAAAAAGAAACTTGTGAAAGCTTTCAAAAAGGTAAAGGTGTTGGGAAGAAAAGGTTAAACTGTAGTTATTGATGACTCCTGAATAGGACACCTTTACCTGACTTTAAATCAGTATGGGTGAAAATGGTTGGACCTAAGAAAGCCGTGTTCATTCTGTTAACACCCAGATATTTGTGTTGTCTCCCACTTTAAAATAATATTTTCATGGCTTTCAGACAAAATGAAAATATTCAGTTCTTGATGTTCCAAGTGAAATGATTTCCTTTATGTTTCCTGCTGATTCACTTGCAAATTTGGGAGCGCTGGGGATTACAGGAGACAAAACCTGTTTCTTAAACATGATCAAGTCTACCGAAGTAGTCAATATTAGTCTTATGGTGAAAATAAAACCTCATTGTATCTGACTCCGTTATGTTAAACATACACTTCTCCAGAAATTCGCCTGTAATGGTACTGTGATTGAACATCCTGAATACGGAGAGGTTATTCAGCTTCAAGGTGACCAAAGAAAAAACATTTGCCAGTTTCTCTTGGAGGTGAGTGGCTTGGGTGCTTTATGTACAACCTTCAGATTTCTTCCAAAATTGTATTGAAGGGCAACATGAATTATGAGTTATTTCCTCCTTAGTTAAAAGAAAGAAAAGAAAAATCGTATGAATGAGGTAAATTGATAGAGAAGTACAAAGTTGGTACTTATTTTGAAGGCAGTAGAACCTTTATTCACTTACGTTATCATTCGAATGACCTGATCATTCCTGTACCTACATTGTCAGTTGAGTTTGGGGGCATATCAAGGTATTTAAGTGTGTGTGGAATTGTTTAGTGTTAACAGTTAATACTGTTAAGTAACAGTGTTGCAATAGACTATTAACAATGATTCTTTTTATAATCAGCGCTCCATGTTTTCTTAGGGATGAAATAGATAAGTTTCTCAGTGATTCTGTTAAATTTTGTTTTGCAGGTTGGCATTGTCAAGGAGGAACAGCTTAAGGTTCATGGATTCTAAAATGAACCTAAATACGTGGAGAATTTCTTGAATAATTTTGTTCTCTAAACCCAGTTTGGCTGCCTTGTGAAATGATTCTCTGCAGTAAACGGACTTTTCATGTATTTAATCATTCAAACTCCCATTCACACCTGCATGATTACAGAAAACATGGGGTATGTAGGTTAGTAACACATAAGAAAATTGCAGTAAGATGGTAATGAAACCCCGTATTCATCTTAACATGTTTCCAATGGAAAATATTTTGAGTGTTTATTTGTTTATTGTTCAGTTTATTTTTTTTCACTTGATTAAATGTTTTTTGTTGTATTAAACCATGTATGTTGCAGCTTAACAATAAAGAAACATCTATGAATCCTTTGTGAGCAATTAGGCTCCCAAATCTAAGCAAGTAAATACACATATTTCGTCTCATAGGTGGAGTTCTCATTCTGCAAGTTTTTTTTGTTGTTTTTTAAATAAGGAGCGCCTAGGTGGCTCAGTTGGTTAAGCATCCGACTCTTGATTTCGGTTCAGGTCATGGCAAGTATTCTAATTAGTTTTTACGTACCGTTAAACCCAAAGATGGAGGGTTGCATTTGTTATATAACTTGTGTTCTTCATTTACTGACTTACTAGGAACAGGAGTATAAGCTCGGCCAGAGCCAAGATTTATAAGAATAGTGTTAAACTTCAAAGAGAATATGAAGTACAATTTAAATTCAGAAGTATTAACACATGGAATTCTTTTATATGTTTTTATCGATGATGTTCCTGGGCTGCCAACATAAATCTGTCCCAGTATTATGCCAGATAATACCGAAGGCTCCTGACAGAAAATAAGTTTACTCACAGGCACTGTCCTGCAAGTGTTGATGGGTGGGATCACTGTCATACAGATAGAAGACAGAGGTGCAGAGATTAATTTACCCAGAGTGCCAGGAAGTGACTTGGGGTGCCAGCTCAGGGCTTCCAGGCCAGAAAATTCATGTTCTTTCACTACATGGGTTTCACCAAAGGAAATGAGAACTGTAGGTGACAATGCTCGGGAGTTGGGGCAGCTCTTAGAAGATTTCTGCAACTCTTCTTCTTGAGTTACAAGCTTCTGCTTTTTATGGAATAGTAATTTGCTCCATTATACAAGCCATGTCATTAAATCCATTTCACCAAGACAAAAAAAAAAAAAAAAAAAATGCATCCGTAAATGCATAATCCAGCTTAATGTGGTGGAATAATGATGTGAGAAGTGTTTCACGCAGGCCACCACCATGTTCTGTACCAGCTGAACTCTTGCCCCTATTTTAATATAGTACTGCTTTTAGAAAAGCAAAATTGGCCACCATAGTTTACCTCTTAAAGACACTAAATAGGTTTTGTTATTTCCTTACCCTGTGCTACTCCCAAGAAAGACTGGGACTGTTAAGTGTGAGTATACCAGCATACAGTGCTAACTTTGAGAGGCTCTTTCTGAAAAAATTTGACCAAGAACAAGCAGTTTAAGAGCATTTTCCAGCTAACCTGAGAAATCCTTGTTTTTATACCTGTAGCGTTTTGTAAGGATTCCACCTCTAGTTGAGATGTGCCATGGAAACAGTTTATGAAAACGATAAAGCAGAAACCTAAGTTAACATGTGTGTTCAAGAGTTGTCTCCTCATTGTAATGTTTTAAAATAGGGGATCCAAGCTAGTGCTCAGGAAATAATTGACCTTTAAAACTGAACAAAGGGAAGAGAGAAACCTCACAAGAAAGGCCCCTCTTCTTGGCACCCGTAGGTAAGCTCTCCATAACCCGTGTGTCAGGCCACTCCCACTGGATGAATGAAAAGCCTCTGGTGCAAAATGATTTCTTTGAGGAGTGCCTCTCTTGATCTCCCTCCAGCCCATGAGCCCCAGACACCTGACTGGACTTCTCACCTGCAGGGCAGTCCCTATCCTCAGAGCAGGAACAGGTCATGTACCTTTTCCTTCTTTCTAGTGTTTGCAATGCAATGGAAATAAAGGATGTAATTAAGATCTATGGATTTCCACAATTTGCTGAAACTTCGTCAAAGAACTTAGAATAAATACCACTCTCATGTGGAAAAACTGACTGGCAGCCTTGGAGGTTCCTAAGAGCAGGGGAGCAAGGCTAACTGCTCTTGTCTGTTTCAGAGGCAAAAAGGACTAGGCAGCCCTGTATAACTGAGGAGGGAAAATAGATTAAGTCTTAACAAATGTAGCAAAAATAACCAGCCTGAGGGGCGTCCCTCCTTGTGCTTCCCATGTGGAATACTTAGATCTGCAGTTTCTTTAGTGGTCTATACTCCCAGGATGCAAAGTGGAAAGAAAAATAGTGAATAGAGGACAAGTAAAATTGTCCCTAACCTAGATGTGGCAGAGGTCTTGGCTATTAGGAAAATGAACCTTTG